CATAAGTCTCCCAAAAGGGTTACATGATTTCCACAAACACAAGTGTTAGTCTCAAAAGAAGTAAGTAATCAGGAAAGAAGTTAAACATGGAATCGGGATTTAAGGTTCTCAAAACGGGTCTTCTCAAAAGAGATCTTGTCGTTGAGATGCGCTTTCTTCACTGTCAACTGACTGATATTCTCCTTAAGTCTAAGGGCTTTTTCACCATGAGCAATTTCATCGAGAGTGTTTTGTTGGATTTCATCTTGTGTCGGGAGACCGCTAGTCAAATCAAATGATGCCTTTTGGAATTCCACTTCAGCGGTTTTATGGTTGAGTTTGTTAATTTGGGCTTGATAATTTGAGATTTGCTGGTTAAGAAAGGAATGTTGATTGAGGTGTTCTTGTTTTCTAACCTAAAACTCAGTCACTCTCTTTTCTACAAAATTCACTTAACTCTCATTCGACTCTCATCTTGTTTGCTTTGGTGTTAAGTTGGAGATCAATGTGCCTACAGAATGCAAGATCTTTGGCAAGCTGGCTAAAGAAAGCCTCAAAACCAACTAGGTATTCGGCCAAAGACTTAGGAATGGTATGTTAGCAAATGGCATCGAGAAATTTAAAAATCTTTGCCACTATAAAATCTCCCTCCTCCACGACAGCCAGGAACTCACCCTCAAACAAATAGGATTTACGTTGTTAAAGTTTGAGGGTTACGTCAGCACTCAGTTTAGTGACAAGTGGAGATGATGTGCCAGATATTTAGGAAATAGTCGATAAACGTCGAAGTTGTCAAAGCTTCTTAAGGGCTTCCATTAGATTCTGTCTCTTTAGGGACTGAATTTCTTTTAAGGTCGAGGAATTGATGGAGGATGTAGCTTGACGGACATGGAGATTGGTATTGGCGAAAGCTGGATGTCTTGATATCTGATCACCCATAACATGTTGAGTAGAAATTTTTTGATGGGGAATCTCACAGTCCCTGTGAGGATGTCCCTAAGAAAATGCCTCAGGATTAGTAGACTCGGGGCATGAAAAGCATGTAAATAAAACATAGATACATATGAAAATAAGTTGTGAAACGCCATGTCGTGTTTTCGAATTTCACATCGAACAAACCATAGAAAATTACAAAAATGTCGTACCTGGAATGGAGGAATGGTTTGGGTCTTCATTTGTGGAGAAGAAGTTTGAGCTTATATAGCTATGGAAACTAGCTCTGGTGGCGTCATTGGTTGTCGAGTAGACAAAATATTAAAGGTGTCGATAAGCCTTTAAAGAAATTCTGGTGTCGAGAAGTACTTCTTTTGAAACTGAGACCACCATTGGTCGAATAGCTCAAGAGTAAAAAAGGAGTGGTCGAATTGGAAAACAGGAAGTTCAAGAGATTGGGTAGCCTTATGGAACTTGAGGCATGCCATATGGTCATCAATATTCAGTTTCCTGCTAACCCAGACAATGTCGACATTATGAGGGAACAAAGACTCATGCAACATTTGACTAAGTCCAAAATGACGAGCCACTAGGTTTGGTTGATACGCCATAAAAACATTCAAGCGTGCAACATTTGGCAAAGAGAGGCCAGAGAAAGGATCTTTGAACCAGTTTGGGCAAAACTTTCGTTCAACGAAAGGAGCCATGACCAAAACAAAGGTATTAGTGTCGACAAACATGTTGATGCATTTCATGAAAATGTACTTGTTGAGGTCCTGTTGAAGAGTCATCTAGGATAATCTTAGGCCCTCGATAGCTCTACTTTTATTCAGACACAAGATGGCCTCAGAAATAGGATAACCTAGTTGGTATTCGAATGTGGAATTCAACCAGTGTTGTAGTAGCCAGAAAGGGCTCAGGAGAACTAATCATTTATCATTATCAGGAAGAGATTTTAACTTGGAGGAGGCTTTACCTAAAGCACGATACAAATACGCCGGCAAAAGCTTTCCCAAAGAAAAGTGTCAACCTTCAAGAAGTTGGATGGCCAAAGGTACAAAACTCTTGACTATATGCGCTGGACATAATAGAAAATAGGAGAGGCAAAGGGTTAAGAAGGAAATGTTTTCGTCATCAGTAACATCTTCTTGGTCAACAACATGATGGTCGGTTACATAGTGATTTAAATCGGTGCATTTGAAGTTAAATGAGTGTTTAGCCGAAACCGTTGGGTCGAAAGTTTTGCCAAGAGGAGAAAGCTCAGTGGTGGCCGCCACATCGAACAAGGTAGGTTTTAACATCCCACAGGGGAGCTTGAAGGTGTTAGCAGAGCCCTCCCACAAGAAGATTGAGGATAAAAGGAAGTTAGGATTGATTCTATGTGTGTTCCTCGACAATTGGATGGCGTCAAAAATGTTAGTTTCCTTCCATTGAGCTTGTCGTTATCCTTGGACTTTGTCTAGCCAAGCTATGTAAGCTTTATGGTCAGATGAAGATATGAAACAAAATACCCTAGCATTTGAATTAATGAACCTAACGTCAATGGATTTAGTTTGATCAAAAGCAGAAGGGATAATGGGATGAAAACAAGGAATGTGTCTATGAAACTTCTTAGGTTGTTTTTTTTGAGTTGGATATGGCCCGTGAAATACGAAAAGCTTTCCTACAACAACAAATAGGATCAACATTTGTCGTTGCAACTTCTTTACTTTAGATTTTTCATTAGGAGATGGTTGCAGGATGAATTCCAAGCTCTCTTCTTCAGAAAGGGAAAAAGCCATGGGATTGTTACCTGTATTAAAGGGAGTACGCGAGGAAGAGGACATTGTTAGGAAGAGAAATATGTTCTTTCATATGTTCTGTAAGTTGTAGAAGAAGAAGATAGAAGATAACAGGCGTAAAGGAAGGTTTATAGGCTCTTTGAGGACTTCAATGATGGACAAGTGTCACCCAATTAGATAGTAATGATTGTCTCTAAACTCAGGAGTGAAAGAGTTAGTAGGGTTTATTTGAAATCCCATATCCTGGAAACTAGGAACCATTATGAGAAATGATGGATAAACATGGGGAATAGTGGCGCAGAAAGTGGCAATCATGGCACGTGACGTCATTTGAAAAGACGTGTAGTAAAAATTCAAAAGTTAAAACGCCAAAGTTCTCAGTCGACAGAATCTCCATCTAACTTGGTATTTTGGGGGGAAATTTATTGGAAAGCAATTTTCGACTCAAAGATTAGGCCACAAATTAGATGGTATCCTTTGTCAAAAGGGAGTGTCAATTATTCTACAAGTGATAAACAGGGGCCGTCAACAAGTTTTAAGAGGAAATCCACAAAGATGGGGTCGAGATAGTATTAGAAGAGGAAGCTATATTGACAAAGGCTAGGCAAGTCAAAAGTAAGAGCAACTGGCGGTAAAAAACGGTTGCCAACCTTAAGAATTAGCAGAACGTGGGAAGTTTGAAAGCAGCACCACACGAACTCTCAAACTGAGTGGTTTAAGTAACCATCGACAGTTACATTTTAGCATATAATTAAGAAAATGATTGCATTCATTTTCGAGGTTGCATTTTGTAACATTGTAAGAGAGCAGTAAAAGTACCAACGTCAATAAAAACGAGTCAGTTCTGAGAAATGTACGATTGGGTCCACCTTTAAATTCAAAGAAGTTCTATTTTAAGTCTTGTTTATCATTTCATCCTTACAATTTATCTATCATTTATCTATCTTTGTCTTTTACCTTTTTTTTGGCTTTGGCACTCTGGTTCCCAGAGGAATAGGCCCTAGTAATCCAGAGCTCATGCCGAGAGAACTGGCCAAGCGTTCTTCCCACCTAGGAGTCTTTTATATTTTCTTTCTTATTACGCTTTTCGTACTTTAATCATTTCATACACCAAAACATTATCTAACTTAACACTAAAGTCTAGGACTCTTTTAGACGATCATGTAAGTAACCTTTAATTAAGAGGCTAGAGATTGTTCGAGAAACTCCCGCGAACAAATTGGCACACTGGCGGGATACGTTTTGTGTTAAGTTCATCTTGATTTGTGCATGATATTTAGAAGTGAAAGGAAAATGGTAGATCCTAGAACTCCAGAAAGGGATCAGACCCTAGGAGGAAATACCAGTGCGGCAGCGAGTGCAGACTTAAGTTCTATGGTGGTGTCTTCGACAAACCCGAACATAAAAGTTACCACGACTTAGTCAGTAAATTCAATACCAAGTATGGTCAATACTTTTGGGAAATATGTGCCTAGTTTTACAAGACCTACACACAATGGGGAACATGTGTATGGAATACCAACGACGATGATGGCATGGTTGCATAATAGAAGTTTGATGTTTGATGAAAATTCAGCGTCAACATTTTCCCTTTATCATGTCTCATGGCCTATGGGAAGTCAATTTGGTCGTTCGAATGGATTGGGGGTTTCCCATCAAGTCATGCCTAATTTCACCCCAAGTACCATTGCAATCATTAGGCAGCAAATGGATGAAAGTAATCATGAAATGGTCTATATGCTTACTCAACAAATGAGTGTCATATTGAGACTGTTAATCGAGAATTCAGTGCAGATTTACCAAACTTTGGCAACTCAAATAACCCGCATTAGTGACTTTCTTGGTGCCTCGAGAGAGCCAGATCGACATTGCAGTATGAAGAGGAGGTCAACGAGACAATAGACCAATAACAACCAATTCCCCAATGTGTCGACCCCATACCTAGGGTGATTGAACGACCCCTAGTGGTGATAGTGAATCGAAACTAAAACGTTGATCATGTCATCAGGCATGTTCGAAGAGATGTAGTGGCTGGACAGAAAAACCTAAAGGCCATCAACGAACGGATTATGATCTGAAATGGGATGAATACTAGTTCTCAAAGACCTACGTATTCGTCTCCATTACCAGATTTTGTTTTACAAATAGAATTACCTAGGGGTTGGAAAGTCCCCAAATTCACTAAGTTCGCAAGGGATATAGAGGATTCCATTTTTTAGCATGTCTCCATGTATTAAATCTAAGTTGGTGATATAGCCAACAATGAGGATCTGAAGTTGAAATATTTCCCAAGCTCCTTGTCAAAAA